CCCTGCATGATAAAATTACTAAATCTTTTTGGTCATCTTTATGGAACTATGTGCAAAATCCTGAATCTCCAGTCTCTTGTAAAGCTGAAGTTTCAGAACATAGGAAGGAAAAAAACTTAGTACTGGTACTTTTTTGAGCCCATTGCAAAAGATGTGGTCATAATTGGGATACTATGCAACACTAGATGAATAGTAAGGAACCAAGATCCGCTTACAAAAAAGCGAACGACCAACACTGGTTCTCCAACAGTTGTCATGGCACCTGTCCATATTATTTGGATTGATATGCACTTGGTTTTCTCAATGAACACCATTACAGAACCAGGCTTTGACACTACCACCACTGAAATAATCAATCATGACAGTGATTTAAGGACTGACATGGACTCAGACAATGAAGTGCTGGCTGAAAGCCAAGACCTTTTCAGTACACATAAGATTTTTCAGCCACTCAGAATATCCTGAAATGTATCCCCCCACCTATATCTTTTGAACACATTGAAAATCCTTAATTATGTCTCAAACCAAATTTGTAGATTTCTGAAATGATATTAGAATAGGGGTGGCCATCCCACACCACATGTTCCACAAGTGGCGTGGCCAGCTTCTGTGTGGCACACTGGCCCCAGATGCTCAGTAATGGAGATGAAGAAGGTGCAGAGGGAGACTCCAGCCTATGGCCAGGTGGAGTGGAGTGGAGTGGAGTGGAGGAGGTGGCTGTGATAGGAGGGTCAGGTGTTACTGGCAGGTTAACCATTCCCTGGCCCTGCTACCATCACCAAACTAAGGTGACACTCACTATACAAAACTCTGGTGACTGTGGAACCAGAGAAGAGATAACCTGACTCTTGGCAGTGACACCCCCCCTTCACAACAGTGTCTTGCCCTGACTCTACTCCATGTGGCTGGAAGTTCAAGCCTTTCCCTCATTTCCCCCCCTCCCCCCTGCCCCGCCTCTGTTGCAGGGTGCAAATTCTTTTAGGTACATCCATGGGCAGATCTAGGAGAGAATTAAGGGAGGTGTAGCCACAGCTCCTTTCAGCTCTGTGCATGTGCAGTGAGCTCTGTGAACTCACTAGCTTGTTAGCACCTATTTTTTGCTGAGGCCAAAACTTTTTTGCAGCACTGAAGTCCAGGGGCTGAGTGCTCCTTGCATTCCCCACCATCACCCCCTTTTTGTCACGTTAATTCAGCAGCAAGTAAAAAGGGGGACAAATAGTAGTAGTTTTTGCTGTTCGGGCTCTAGAGCAACACAACTGCAGTGGCTCTGGCAGGAGCCCATTCTGACAACGTGGTGCATCAGCTCATGCATGTCCTGCACAGCTCAAGAGGGGTGCTACTATGCCCTCCCTAACCCCTCTGATCGCCTTTGGATTCTCTTCTAGGCAGGAATCCAAGCAGCATTTGGGGAGGGTGTGGGGCTTATTTTGTGGCCTTCCTGCCAAAAACACCATCACTGTATTCAAAATTAGTAGTAAGTGACCACCCAGAGGAGACACAGGGTCTGAATCTGATCTTGCTTACAGACTTTACACTGGTACCAGTCCATTATTTTAAATGGGTATCTTCTAATTCTCACCAGTGTAAGGGAGAGCTGAAGTAGTCCCACAAAACATGGATTCATCACCAGGTATCTCAAAGTTATAGACTCCTTTCATTAAGAGGGTAAATCTCATCGTAGGTTTGTTCTTACTTTGTGTTAAACTTAAGACCTTAAAAGGTCTTTTCTGGCAGCTATTTCATGCAAGAGGAAGAGTATAAAAGATTTAAAGATTAATAACTCCTCCAATGCTGTTTCATAGTAAAAGTACTCTTTGTGCAAGGACATTTTAATGGTTTCTATAGCCTGCCATAAATTAGTACTTTTGGAATTGATTATGAGTGCTCTTCCCAACTCCAGATCTTTCATCATGCTCCTTGATGCCACAAACTTCACACTAGCCTGATTTAGTGAAGTGTTTAAGTAAATGCTTACCTTTTAAATACATGACTAATTTCACTTTTCCTCAGCAAAGCATTTAAGCATATGCTATAATCTAATTGACTTCAAGGGGACTTCAATTCCTTCTCACCGTGCTTGGTAGAAAAGGACTGGGTTTAAGCACGTGCTTGAAGTCACATACAAATGTATGTCATTTAGCATTCCTAAAGCAAGGCTTCAAAGTTGTGGGAGGATTTTCACACAATGGATAATACCGTTCTGCCATTGCTCCTGAGAACAAGTTGGGGAATCTCTATTTTTCTCAGCCACTCCTAAGAGAGGTTTTACATATTTTTTGAACTTTTCAGTCTTAAAGCAGATTTTAATACTGACTTTTCATAACAGTTACATAATGTACATATATGATTCCTTTAGTACACATGTATGTATTGCTAAGGTATACATTATAATTCCTTTGAGTCTTCTGAGCTATCTTAAATGAATTTACTGCATAAAATGTGACATCTGTATTTCTCCACTAGGGTTCCTAATTTGAATGTACTTTACAAGGAATGTTTAAAATTATTTTAAAATGGGTAAAATTTGAGTTGATCTAAAATGAAAGTATATTTTATAACTAGTGAGTCAGATAGGATATAGTATTTTTGTTGCTTTCTGTTGAGAATTTTCAGAAAGATTCTTTCTTATGCCTTAATTTGAATACTTACCTATATGTATTTGTGAATTCAAGATGGCTGCATTAACACATAAGCTTTTGACTTTAATCATATTTCTCTGAATGAGATTTTCTTTATTTAAATCTGCCTCTTCAAGAGCTTTTATTATACCTGCTCAAAATGTTATAACTCAAAATAGCTTGTTATTTTGGCATATCTGATAAAAAGTGGTTAGAAAAGGTTCCCACTTCCATGTGTTTTGTTTTTCTCTTTAAATTGAACACTATCAAATGTCATTGCTACCTGTTTCATGCATGTGCTTAGACGTTTTAACAAAAAATAACTCAGACTTGTTTTCTTGCAAAGGAAGTGCATTCTTTATAAAACTCTAAGCTAGACAGTATGACAAGTACTTTTTCTTTTCAATTTTTGCAATTTTCTTCCCTTAGTTTCTTAGACCCAGACCTTGTTCTGTCTGTTGTCTTCATGTTCATCTGGAGGGCCATTTGGATTATGTCAAGAATAACATTTTTGTTGCTCTTTTATTTGGAGTGATAATTAATAAACTTAAACTAGACATAACTGTAAATGCCAGTTTAGACATGCCACAAACATTTATTCTGAAATGTATCCTTTAAATAACTAAATAAGTTAATAAACAAATGAATTGCATTGATTAAAATTCACACAATAAAGTAGCAATATAGTACACAGAAAGTATAGGTTAAGAACTAACTGACACATTGCAAAAAGTTCTTAATGGGGATTAACAATCAAGTGGGATTGTTTCTAGTGGGGAATCTCCATGAATTCATACTAGCCCTAACATTATCCAAGGTTTTCCTCAATAATCTACAAGTGAATATATAAACACTGCTGATAAAATTTGTGGATGACAGAAAAAATGATAAAATAGTGTGGACAAGGCAGTCATACAGAGCAACCTGGGTCACATGATAATCTCAGCTCAAACAAAGTAATTTTTAGTAGATCAAGCTGAAAATGTCTATACCTAAAAGCAAGAAATGCAGGCCATACCTATAAAATGAAGACTGTATTCTGGAAATAAATGATCTTGAAAAATTCTTAAGGGTTTTGTGAACGTGAGCTTCTGTGTAATGCTGTGTCAAAAGGACTAATGTGAACTATTGACATCTGAAGAGGAGAGAAACGACTAAGAGTAGGGAGGCAGTTTTATTTCTGTGTACAAGAATGGTGGTACATGTACTGAAATTGCATCTTGTCAGATGTTTCTGTTTTTAAAAAGGATATTGAAAAGCAAGAGAAGACGCAGAAGAGCACCACCCAAACATTCAGGGGCTGGAGAAAATGTTGTCCAGTATGAGATTTAAGGAAATCAGTCTGTTTAAGAGATCAAAAAGAAGACTGAGGTGTCCTGACTACAATGTATAATTGCCTTTAGAGGGAGAAAAGACAAGATATTAACTGACTCTATAGTGTAGTGGAGAAAGGCATAAAAAGGATCAACAGCTAAGAGCTGTAGCCTGTCAAATTCAAACTAGAAATAAGGTACTAATTTGTAAACATGAGGATGATTAGTCACTGTAACCAGGTAAGCAGTACACTCTCCATCTATTCAGATGCACCTTTTTTTCTGGAAAATACGATTTAGCTAAGGCAGGTCATGCTTTAGTCCACTTACTGGTTCTGTGAAGCAACAACTTAGGTGGGTAAAATGTTAAAGGTTATGGCATGCAGTATGTCAGACTGGACTGAATGATTCAATGGTTCCTTCTAGTGTAAAATTTATGATTTTAATAGTTATTAAAGGAGTATCTGCTGGGTGCTGAAGTTTCTAGGTTCAGTGCCAGGCTCTCAGCCAGGATGAGTAGATGTGGTCATGCCATAGGTGCCATCATTTTAGCAAAAAAAAAAAAGAAAGGAAACCCCTTGAAGCATTTTAGTAACACATTTTAGTTGTCTAATTAGGCTAAAATTGAACAAAACAAAGAACTTCTGAGATGGAGACTAGTGGATGCAGTTCCTGGTTAGTCCCCATGGCTGTTTTATACTTCTGTTCTCTGCTTACTTTCTGTTTGGATAAACATCCTCTGGAGCTTCTGCTTCTTCTTAAAGAGCCTGCTTACCATTGAGTACACTGTTGTGGGAGGGGGGATATAATTTTAGAGTGGCTTAGGATAGAAACCTAGATGGCTCACCTCAAACATGATTAAAACTCTTTATTTCTCTATTTAATCCTTGTTTTAAAGTAGAAAAATAAGCCCTGATGAAATTCAATTTTTATTTTGTGAAACAAAAAGGTAACTGCAACACACTCAGAAGGATGGAACGTGATCAGATAGTAAACCACAAAGAACCTCCCTCTATACAGGGTGAAACTAAGTTCTTAAGAGAGCTTTATTTTTCCTGCACGAATTGCTGGCATCTACAGCATTAGGTGCTTAAACTGAGGTTTTAAATCCTAAAAATCAGGAATCTCAAGAAAATGATGAGGCTTGTCATATTAATGACAATACCCTATTTTATTCACTTCTCAGGTAAGATTATTGTCTGATTTTTTTTTCATGCTTGAAATTGATTAGTAAAGGCAGCATTAAATCTTAAGGCAAGTAATAAAAATAAAATGAAAGTGTCATTTGTTGACTCTTATATTAAAACATTTTACTTATCATTATTGCTAGCATTTACTTGTTGTTTTATGGAATGCATTATAATATAAAAGAAAAGGTAGCCTAAAAAGGTAATGATATAAAAGGAATTAATTTAAAATGCATTAAAAATAAAGGACTAATATTAGCAAATCCACCTGAAGTGTATTATTTGATATGTGTTAGGTAATTAAACCACTTTTTTGTAGCCTTCAAACAATTGCTATATTTCTCTTGTATGTTTTAGTGCAGTGGTCAGCAACGTTTTTCGTCAAAATGCCAAAAACACCTGCAACCTTGACTTGTAAGAGGTTAGTGTGCCAGAGACAGACAGTGGGGGAGCCACAATCCTTGTTATGGCAACAGAGCCCCTTCACTGCCGTCTGCCCCATGGCACACCTGGCAAGCAAAAAGCCTTTGCGTGCCATGCTCTGGCACCTGCACCGGGGTTTGCCTACTGCTGTTTCAGTGCATGATCAAAAAGAACAGAATGAGTTTTCACAGTTCACTATTACTAGTAAACAGTTTGGACATTCACCAAATGACCTATTTTTCTAAATGAATTAATCTGAAATAGGTTAGTAAACTGGAATATCATTAAAATGTTATGCATTTATTTTTTACACATAGCATGTTTCTTATTTAAAACCACGGGCAAGGTGAGGCATTGTGAATGATCTGCTAGTTTTTTTTATTTTTGGTTTAAAATGTTGGACTTCAAGAAGGAGAACGGAGTCTCTTTCAAAGATAACACAGTAAGTAGCACTTCCAGACATGTATTTGGAAGGGTACATGAGGGTAAAAAGAAGGTACCAAGTAATGTGGGGCCTCTGCAGGACATACTTGGTAATCTGGTGGTAGCACCAGATGACAAAGCTAATCTCTTTAACAGATTCTTTGCTTCCATTTTTCTGAGCAGGGACAGGGACATCCCCCACCACTGGGATTCAAGACGGACCCAGGGGAGGTGCAGCCAGGCCCAGGGTCAGTGAGGACCTAGTCAGGGAACTCCTGGAGGGACTAGACATGTTCAAATCAGCAGGTCCTGATGATCTCCACCCAAGAGTGCTTAGGGAATTGGCAGAGTCGTTGATGGACCCCTGCCACAGCTTTATGAGCACTCATGGTGCTCTGGTGAGGTGCCAGATGACTGGAAAAGGGCCAATGTGGTCCCCATCTTCAAAAAAGGGAGGAAAGAGGACCCAAGAAACTATAGGCCCATTAGTCTTATCTCAGTATTGGGGAAGCTCTTTGAGAAAATTATCCAGGAGCACATCTGCAAGGGGCCAGCAGGGGAGATTATGCTTAGGGGCAATCAACATGGGTTCATTAGAGGCAGGTCCTGTCAGACCAACCTGGTTGCCTTCTATGACCAGGTCACAAAATCCTTGGATGCAGGTGTTGCGGTGGACGTAGTCTTTCTGAACTTTAGGAAGACCTTCTACACTGTCTCTCACCCCATCCTCATTAAAAAACTAGGTGACTGTGGTGTTGATGCCTACACAGTCAGATGGGTCACAAATTGGCTGGAGGGCCGCACCCAAAGAGTGGTGGTGGATGGGTCATTTTCGACCTGGAGAGATGTGGACAGTGGGATTCCCCAGGGGTCAGTCCTCAGGCCTGCACTGTTCAATATCTTCATTGGCGATTTGGACAAGGGCGTGAAAAGCACCTTATTCAAGTTCACAGATGACACCAAGATGTGGGGAGAAGTGAGCATGCTAGAGGATAGGGACAGGCTACAACTAGATCTGGACAGGTTACAGAGGTGGGCAGATGAGAATAGGATGGGTTTCAATACTGACAAGTGCAAGGTGATGCACCTGGGGAGGAAGAACCAGCAGCATACCTACAGGCTGGGGAACTCCCTTCTTGTCAGCACAGAGGCAGAAAAGGATCTTGGAGTCATTATTGATTCCAAGATGAACATGGGCCGGCAGTATGGGGATGCGGTCAGTAAGGCTAACCACACATCCATAGATGTATCACAGCAGGTGCAAGGGAGGTCCTCCCCCTCTATGCAACATTGGTCAGGACGCAGTTGGAGTACTGCATCCAGTTCTGGGCACCGCACTTCAGGAGGGACGTGGATAGCATAGAGAGGGTCCAGAGGAGGGCCACTCGCAAGGGCAGCAGGGCAGGCTCTATGAGGAAAGGCTATGGGACCTGAACCTGTTCAGCCTCCACAAGAGAAGGCTGAGGGGGGATCTGGTGGCTGCCTATAAACTTGCCAAGGGGGACCAGCGGGCAATGGGAGAGTCCCTGTTCCCCCGAGCACTACGGATGACCCCAGCATCCTTTCCTGCCCGTGGCAGGGGGTCAGACTTGATGATGTGCTTAGGTCCCTTCCTACCCTACCAACTACGAAACTATGAAACTATTTCTTGGTATAAAAATGTATTCAGGTGACTATTACTTCAAATATATGTACCATTTGCAAACAACTACCACTAATCTTTAAAAAAAAAGTCAGGCATTATAATTTGTTCTGCTACATTCTTCAAAAGCATCCTTCCATTACAGTTAGGAAATATGGGATTTGTCCAGTTTTATTATTTTTACACTGAATATATAACTTCAGATATAAATCTAAAGGAGAATTGTATTCCATTCCAAAGCAAATGAAGGATGTACATTTACAGGATGCAAATGCAGGACGCCTCCACAGAATACATGTCAGTACTATTTCAAAACACATACGCTGAGATGCTCAACTTCAAAGGAGCACCATTAAACATCTGAAATGGAGAAAGTAGCATAGGTAACTCTTCTTTGCCTCTGATCATTGTGGAAGCTGGAGAGCCATTTCAGAGAGCACCAGAAGACTGCTCTAAACTACACTACACTAACAAGATAGTCCAGTAAGCCTATCTACAACTTCAGGAATGTGTAAGCCTGGTGTTTTCTAGCTATTTCCAATATATCGAATATATGATATATAACAGTGCACCTACATTGCTGAAGAAAATGAAGGTGGCACAATCTGCTATGTTGATTTTTTTTTCTTGTACCTAGAGATTTTCCTAGGCAAATGGAATCTGAAGATATCTTGTAGTGTACTGTTTCTAGATGTATTGCACTACTTGATATCAAAGAAGTTTCTTAAAATAGAAAAATGTGTTACTACAAATAAATTATCTTATTTGAATTCATATTCTCGGCTTTTTTGGTTGTCCCAGAGGTAGTATATAATCACGTCTGGTATACCCAGACATGTTGTGTAGTCATGTAGTCCTATGCACAATAAAACTGATTGCAAGTATCCCTCAGAGTATATGCCTTCATTGCATATTAAGAGGCCTAAAAAATAAAAAATCTGGGATGCAATGCTGTGAGCTATTGAAGATGAACACTGATAAAAGCTACTGCTTCTATTGCCTAGCTCATAGCTACATGTTTGTTGTTGTAAGTCCAAATTGCCATTTCATGAAATATAGAAATTGTTATTAATAAAACAAAAAGGCAGCACAATACCACTGCAATGTATGAGACAATGTAATGCTAATTACTATAACCATCATCATGTTTTCTTGTTTCCCAGTTGTACTCCGCATGAGCAAGGATGGCAGAATCCGGCCCTCAACAAATAAGGACATAGTTTCATATAACAATATATATTATGTATTAAGACAATGGTATACATTAATTATTAAGGCAGAAAGTAGAGCAGGGTGGCACCCTACAGACTAACTTGTTCAGAAATGCATAAGTTTTAGTAGGTGATAGCCTACTTTGTCAGACGCTTTGAATGCACTTGCAGAGAGCAGGCAGGCTAAATAGATGGGAGTAAAGTCATTTAAATGCACTTTACATACAATGGATAGGAAAAGGGGAACGAAAAGATGGGGACACTTCTGAGAGTGGGGAAGGTAGATTGGATTTCTCAAAGAGGACAAACAGAGCAGTTAACGCATTGAGGGACAAGATTTATCAAACTACCATTGGTTCAAAATTTCACCACACATTTTCATGATCAAAACTCTTCTGTACCTTCAGAGTTTTATCACATGCATTTATTGAGCTGGATCAGATTCTAACCTGGCCCATAATATTAAAAATAGGCAAGTGTGGTTTCTTTGTACACCAATGTAAAAAATGTAACTTTTTACTATTATGCTCCCACTTCGTTATTGTCTTACAGTGAGCAGTGGATCAGAACTTTCAGTCATACAATATCCTCAGGACATCAATGTCTCTCTTGATTCAACAGTTTTGATATTATGTGAATTTGACTATCCAGATAAAACTACGGTTGACACAGAGGTTTATTGGAGAAAAGGCCCAGATTGCAATCGGCCTGGCCTCAAACCAAGCCCAAGCATCTCTCATTTTCAAAAATCACAGGTGCAAATTACAAAGGAAACAACCAAAAGGTTTTCAATCTTAAAACTGAACAATGTTCAGCTGGATGACAGTAACATGTATTTCTGTGATGTGACACTAACTGATCCACCACCACCACAGAATAAATGTGGAAAAGGCACCAAGCTGACAGTACATGGTAAGGAGCTTTGTGAGTCTCAGAAATGTATCTGGGTACATAGAAATCATCTAAATGTTTTTCTTTTGCAACTCCAAAATTCAGAACCAGGACTGGAGAGGGAGAAGACAGTCTGCAGTATGTAGAATAATGTGGAATAGTAATGCTATTCTCTTTTTTACCACAGGAAACATTTCTTACTTTGCTTTGCATTTTCTGTATCTAATCTGGTTTAACTGTAGTTCAAAAAGTCTCCAGGCAAGCAATTTGTTCTCTTAGAACAGGGCATCTCACTCATGTCAGACCAATAACTGTTTATTCAAAAATGAAACTTTGTCACTTGCCTTAAATTTACTTGCATTTACTCTAAAACATATATTGATGACAGCTAGGATGGGTGTATCCCCACGTACAGGGGTGTGCGGTTGTTGAGGCAAAAAGCAGTAGCACAAATTTATGCTACTGCTTTTGGCTGCTGCACATGCCCCTGCATGTGGAGTTGGTGCAGGGAAAATAGTCCCAGGTCAGATAGAGAAAGCTGGGGCCAGCACCCGTCTTGGCTTCAGCATCCTTACTTGGCATCCTGGGGGCCTCCTGAGGCAGCAGTGGGTGCAATTCAGCCCCTTGGAGCCTAGCTTTTTTGGTGACTTTTCTTTTTTTAACACTGGAGTCTCTCAGTCTCAAAAAAACCTGCAGCACTGCAAATTAGCAGTGCGGCGAACAGATACACATACACTGCATGCAGTTTGCAGGACCTCAAATGGGTTTGTGGTGCGGCAGACCCATTTGTGGCACTACAAACCTCACGCACTGCACACACAGGTGTTTGCTTCATTGCTAATTTGCAGTGCAGCAGGTTTGTTTTGACACCAGATCCCAGTGGAGGCTGCTGGAGATCTTCAAGGTTGCTGGAGATCCAGGTGTCAAAAAATCCTGCTTCTGAAAAAAGCAGGACAGCGCATGTGGCAGCAATGTGTGCTGTCCAAAACTGGAGCCTGGCCAGCCAGAGCCATGCTCCAGCTGCTGGCTAGGCTCTGCATGCTGGATTGCTGCTGCAGGAGCCCCAGGAGGCTCCCAGGTCCCCAAGTAAGGCCGCTGGGACCACGTCAGGTGCTGGCCCCCGGCTTCCCTACCCCACCTGGGGCAACTTGCCATGTGCCACAGCACACATACACAGGCATTCCCCAGGGACCAGCAGCAAAGATACAACTATGTAAAGTTGCTGTTTGTTCCCAGGGAAACATAAGTGCATGCTCATCTGAACACACCCAGTAAGTCTGTTTTTGTGTGTTTCAGGAGGTTGAACCTGAGAGTTTAAAGATATGTGATGAGTAAGAATTTCTGGGTGGCAGATTACAGTAAGATTTTCAGTTACCCACAGCCCTCCTGTGAGACCATGACTTACTGGCTGAAAAACACTCTCTTGCATGGTGAGTGGTCCTTCACCCACCTGGACTTGCCAGACAAATCTGCCTGGAAAAAAGGCTAGATGATGCTAGGCATCATTCAAATACTTGATTACCAATTATACTCAGCAGACACTTCAACTGCAACTTATCCAGGCCACAGCAACTTCTGATGAGTGGTGAGATTAAGTCTGCTGAATTTCACAGCATCATTAGATTACATTTCTTTCTTAAGAAAGAAATTGCCTGAAGTTTAATGAAGTGTCAGTTGCCATGTAAACTGGCTGTCTTCTTTAGGATAGTAGTTTGTTGTAAGTAACAAGAGATGTTCAGAGTTCCCACTACTAATGAACTAAGACCTGTTAGTTTTCTGTCCCTTTTATTAATAAGCTTCATCAGGTTCACAAATTTAAGTTTTGAAGTGAAACTGTTCATAACTCAGTATAATGAGTCTTCAAGAAAGATGCATCTTCTTAGCCTGAAAAAAAATAGTGAAAGGGGGGTGATGAATGTAAATGGAAAACCAGGTATGCTAATTGTCCAATACCCTCTAATCCCTCAGATGAAAAATATATCTGACTAATAAACAGCAAACAATTCTTTTGGTTTTTAGATAATTTAACTGTTCATATCTTTATTTCAGGGCCTACATGCCATGGTAGCAGATCTGATAAAAATATTTGGATGTGGCTGCTTCTTCTTGGATACAGCATTAGTGCCACCATTATTATAATAGCTTTCCTTGTAAGTAATTATTTAAAGGATAAATATCACAAAACTTCTATAATCTGGGGTACTTCTGATGGAAAAAGGAGAGTAAGTTTGAACAAGGAGCACATGTGTGAGCAGGTTTAAAGGCATTCCTTAACCTCTATCACCTAAAGGGTCACAATTAAAACCCAGACTCCCTGCCCATGACAGTGCAGATCTGTGTGAGGCTTTCAAAGAAAAGTAGAAGTTGTAGCAGGGCAGATTACCTAGGAGAACAGTATGGTATTTTCTTTCCAAGCTTGCTGAAAACTAGGAAATCATTTGTTGGTTGTTACCAAATATTCTGTGTTGCTCTGATCCCATTTTGGAAAGTAATTGAAACTTAAGTAGAGTTCTGACTTTAATGGGATCCTTCAGTTAGTGTACTTGCCTACTGGTTCATAGCATGGTATATTGATGCTTCATAAAATATGTTCCATTTATCCCACCCGATGCCAAGTGTCTGGGGCCTGACTTTTTTCTTTCTCTGCTCCACCAGTTGGCTGCACTGGTGTGCTGGCAACTGATCCACTGGCCTGACTAATGGTGACTCTTCTTCCATTATATTCAAAATCAAAACAAAACAAAATCATTTCTCAGTCCTTCCATAAGTTACAGAAATTTTCAGTCACTAGTTGGCACTGTGAGGGTCCCAGGGCCTATGTAGATGAAACGGGGGCCCTAAATTGAAGCGGTGGGTTATAAAAAACACCACTTCAGTGTGGGGCTAATTAAACCCCATGTCATGCACATGCCTCGCTGACTTACCTCTCTCTCTGGTGCGGAGAGGAGAGCGAGCTGCTGGCAGGCGGAGTGGTCCCTGGGCTGCGGAGGGTCTGGTGCTTCCCTCTGTGGCAGCAACACTTCCCGCCCCCCGCTTCCTGCAGGAGGCACCCACCCACATGCACCCAGCTTGGGAGGTCTTGGCAGACACCACAGCTTTCCCAGGCTGCTTCCAGGCTGCCTGCATGGCTTTCTGCAGAGCCCCTGAGCTGCATAGAGCCTGGTGCTTTGCTCTGCAGCTGTAGGGGCAGCAAACTAAAACTCCCCCCCAAGTCATTTAAAGCGCATTATGCCACCAAATTTCCTTCAGTGGCTGGAATTAATGTGCAATACACTGCTGAGGTGTGCAAACACCACCACTATTAAAGTGGTGCAAAAGCATTTAGCCCACTTGAAAGTGTTGTGTGCACACACCTCTCGTTTCATCTACACACAGCCCCAGTTCCTAAGCCTTTCTTCTATTCCAGGCTCTCAAGACTGAAGACCTTACTCATGCACTAGCTACACAACCCCTCTGCTTCCCTTGTCCATATATCTCTTTCAATTCTGTTATCTCTTTTAAATCTTCTCACATCCTATTGTAGCAACCCTCCCTAAAGCACTTGTCTTCGTGCTGTCCACAAGGGAACAATCATAGTCTTGGCCCTGATCATTGTTCCTCAGAGAGCTTTACCTGCCAGGTACGGCTCTCACCAGTGAGGCAGAAAACTCCCATTTTAATCCTGCTTCTCTCTTCTCCATTCACATTTCTTTTGCAGTCATGAGATCTCACTAAAGAATACAGTTAACAGAATGTTAGTCTTTGAAGGGAAAAAAGTTTTGGAGTTGGGGGTGTACTGGTCTTGTGCCTGACCTGAAAGAATCCCTAATTGTACACCTCTTCTGCATTTCCCATACCTCTTTTCAAACTTCTTGCAATGATTAAGCTTCATACCAGAAGATGAAAGAAAAAAAAAAAAGAAGGGGTCTTTGTAGGTCCTAAATGATTTATCTCTGCAAACAATATAGATAAAAGGTTTTGCAGTGAACCTTGAAAGTAAATAAACAGACTACTTTGGGCAAAAAGGTAGTAAGTTCCAAATGTAAAAGGCCCTTATGCCAGCAACTCTTTCTCATATTACTTATTTGCTCTGGAGTTTTTTTGTGTGCAGCAGTGCATGTGTAGATGCTGGCTGGGGCACAGGGTGTTTCAGTGCAGGACTAGCTGGCAGGCAGTCCCTGCATTGAGACTCCCTGTGCTCCAGGCAGCACCTCCCACCCCTTGCAGCATATGGAGATGGGGTGGGGGGAGAGCAGCCGCTCCCTCCATCTCCACGTGCTACTGAGCAGTTGTGCAGGGTGCCCTAGAGCAGAGGCTGCCTGCCAGCTAGCCCCACATTGAAGCACCCTGTGCCCCAGCCAGCTGGGGCAACATCTACACATGCGCTGCTGCACACACATAAAAAAACCTACATAAAAGTTAGTATTTGTATTTTACAAGACTACCCTGCTGCAGAGTTTTAGTTTCATGTGCCATAAGAGGGGCTCATGTGTAGACACTGAGACGTTTACTGTGTAGTTAATTAGTCAACAGTAAACATCTCATGTAGACATGCCCAGTGGGAGCAAAGAGAGAAATAACTGATGTAAAAAAGCCATTGGTTTGATCTAATTGTCACTGTACACAGTTGTGTGTGGTGGGCATGTTTTGTTTTCAGTTGATATTGTTGCCATGAAGCCACCTCATAACAACACTTCCTACCAAGATGAATAGCAATAGCAGAAAAATCTATGCTCAGTTCTGAAGTACAGTGGTTAAAAGCCATAACCCACCAAAATATTGCTTTTACTCAGAAATCTATGCTGAAGTTATAAAGAAGCTTGAAGTTTTAAAAGAGCTAATTTAGACACTACACTCCTCATTTTAAAGACAGTATCATTGACTGGAGTAATTCATGATATCGGAATTAAGACAGAAGAACAAGAACAGTGAACTGGAGAAAGCATTTGAAACTTTAAAAAGTTGTTTTTTTATTGAATGGTAAGTGCTGCATTTCATGCCAGGCAAATACGTGTACTTAAGATTGGGCTGTTGCTGACCTGTGTATGACAGAGATATGAACTCTAAGGGTGAAACCCGCTGTATTCCAGTACCACCCACGCCCCTAAAGCTAGTCCTTTTTATTCTTATTCAGATATACTCACTCTCACTTTGTCTCTCTGTCTGTCCTGGAAGAACAGGCTATTATTGTGGCCAGTATGTTAATTGCCAAAACACTGAAGGAACCAATTGCTGGAGCAGAACATGAAAAAGACACAGCCCCTTAAATACTGCTTGGATAAGCCGATCCTATTAAAGGAACACATAGTGTAAAAAAAAGAATACAGGTTTAAAGGATGAGATATTTAGGATTAGAGTATTTATCATATTATTTTAATAGAATTTAAATTAATTAATTTCATTGAACGCCTCCCCCCAAACCATCAATTACTGTTTTCAATGTTACCATGAAGAATAGTTTTTTGTCGTGTATAAAGCTATCACTTGCAGTAAATAATTTTGCATACTTCATTCTGTGGTGTTTGTGGGAACACTGGAAATCATACATAGTCCAGAAATAACTCTTGGGAAGCCAGCATTCTTAACTTAGGTAAACGTTCTCTAAGGATCAGTGTGTTTGACTAAAAAGTGTTTTCTTATCAATATGCTTTGTGAAATATTGAAACAGATTCATCAGTGCTGTAAAAAGTCCAGGATCAACTCAAGAAACACAGACGGCAACACTACATTGCCAAGTGAATGGACTTACGACAAACCAGCCAGAACTGTTAATAATGGATTTAATCAAGAATATGAAGATATGACACTAATAAGGACTTTTACTCATAATGGACGCATGATGAAATGAAAAAGAAATGTATATACAGTAGTCATAACATTAGCCTGTATAGTGATGAATACTTTATTCTACCCAGTAGCAAAGTAGTTAAGTTAGTGTTCAAGTGACTCTTCTATCAACACATTAATCAAAGAACAAAGGAATGACTATGTTCAACAACATGAACGTACATGCTGGCCTCACTTTATCTCTGTTACAAGTCGACAACCATCTATTGGAATGCCTTCTGATTTCCTTTCCTTTCCTTTCTTTTCCTTTCCTTTCCTTGATAGAGACAACCACAGAATGATGATCCAATTCCTCATATGCAAAAAAGTCCAGCCTAAATTCTGATTTTGGTTAGATTCAGACATCCACATGCATATTGGTTATTTGTGCATTATGATGACAGAGGGAAAATTGAGTTGGAATTGAGAGGAGTTCTCCACACCTAACCCTAACACACTACTTCTCCCCTTCTCTGTTTGTGCCCCTGGTTGTCTTTCTAAGCTTTCCCAGTCTCTGAAACCTGCAATCTCCCTTTAGACATTTTCCAACAAAATGAAAAGTAGCTTATAAAAAAGAATAACTTCAGAGGGAAAAACACTGTTCCTATTTAACAACTACTGGAAACATACTGATGTGCAGACAACATATATGAAAAAACACATGGTCTTATTACTTTGTGTCACCTCTGTCTCATCTTCCAAGTTCCTTCATATCTATTCATGTGTTGTTTCTAAAATTTGACTGTAAACTCTTTAGGCAGAGACAATGGCTTTAGAAAAAAAGTGCCAGCAGACTTTTGGAGTCTGTGTTAAAATAATGAAGCTAGGTGACATGGGAAGAGCTTAATTTGCATGGTAATGAAGTACTCCTTGAGGTAGCTTCACAATGGAATGGGTGATGGTCACTTATGCAAGACTTGGAGCAAATTAATATTACTTAAGTTGCCAGGAAAGGAAGAGGTTTTTGCATAAATTGATATCCAAAACTGTAGACATTGTTCTCTAGAGCGCTTCCTTTTTAATAAACTCTCAAAGCCCTGTGATCTCTGATCAGGGTGAAAAATTAAATAAATCCTCACCAAGCTACCTATCCTATGATTTTGCAATATTCTGTAACATTAAGTTATCTTAGCAATGCTTTTTGTGGTACTTTTCTAGGAAGTTACATGTTTACCTTTTAATCATAGTATCATAGATAACATCATAGGTTGTAAGGAAAATCTGGAGGTCATATAGTCCAACCTCCTGCTCAAAGTAGGACCATCCCCAATTACATCACCCTTTCTCTATGTGTAAAGTTGCTATTAAAAAAATTTCAATTTATGTCAAATTGCATTAAGTACCTGACTTTTTTTTTTGGAAGCGGCTGGATGATTCACATGAAGGAAACTGAACTCTGACTTTGGGAAATGGTTTGTGGGGGTGGGCAGGAAAAGAGAGAGAAAGTCCTGTGTATTGAGTAACCGATACACTGAGGCACCGGAAACCCTTACTTTTTCCAAACAAGGAGACTCAAAAAAGATATTTTTTAAATTTGGGTGCCTGGTATTAAATGATAAATTGCCTGAATTGGGTCTCGAATGCATCTGCACAGCAGGTAGCTTAGATTTCCAAATGGCAGTAATTGTATCTATGGTTGTGGGATCAAAAAAAGGAAGGCCAGATAAAGGAAGTAAGAAAGTGGATTCTACAGCAAAGAGCACTAGCAGCACATTATTTCATTTCACCTCACAAGATGTACACAGAGAGATTATCATAGCATCTGACAAAGCAGGCAGTAGCTTTCAAAAGTTCATGCCTCTCTGAATGAGTTGGTCTATAACCACCCACCTTGCCTCCAAGCTGTGTAGAACTGCAGAGAAGATTTTTTATTTATATTTTTTTAAGTCATGGGTATGGAAATTTTCTGAGAGAAACCTGGCCTTGTGTGGGGGTGCATGTTATTCCAAGGTAGCATTTTGCATGGGGGTAGAAACCATCAGCACACTTATAGAATGGGAAACTCCCTTCTTGAGAGCACGGAGGCAGAAGGGGATCTTTGAGTCATTATTGACTCCAAGATGAACATGGGCCGACAATGCGAGGTCACGGTTGGCAGGGCTAACTGGACCTTGTCGTGCATCCACAGGTGCATCTCAAGTAGAGCCAGGGAGGTGATCCTCCCCCTCTATGCGATGCTGGTCAGACCACAGCTGGAGTACTGCGTCCAGTTCTGTGTGCCCCACTTCAAGAGGGATGTGGACAACATGGAGAGGGTCCAGAGGAGGGCCACCCGCATGATCCGGGGACAAAAGGGGAGACCCTCCAATGAAAGACTGCAGGACCTGAACCTGTTCAGCCTTCACAAGAGAAGGCTGAGGGGGGACCTGGTGACTGTCTATAAACTCACTAGGGGGGACTAGAAGGGGTTGGGGGAGACACTGTTTCCCCTAGCGCCCCCTGGCATGAAAAGGAACAATGGACACAAATTATTAGAGAGTAGGTTTAGATTAGACATCCGCAAGAACTACTTCACAGTCAGGGTGGCTAGGAGCTGGAACCAACTTCCTAGGGAAGTGGTGCTGGCTCCTACCCTGGGGATCTTTAAGAAGAGGTTTGATGACTACCTGGCTGGACTCATTTGAGTCCAGTATTTCTCCCGCCCAGGCGGGGGGTCGGACTTGAAGATCTACAAGGTCCCTTCTGTCCCTACTTCTATGATTCTATGAACTTCACCCCAGAGGTATAACTAGGGGTTGGGGAGGTGCCATTGGGCACCAGAGGGATGAGGTTCAGAGAGCAGGAAGTGCAGGAGTGTTTCCTACACTAGGAACTCAAAACCAGTTCCTGGCTGCTGTTGCTTATGGTGTTGCTGATGCTGTTGCCACCATTAAAGCTTCAGAGTGGCCTGTTCACCCCAGCTGTTTCTCCTAGAGCAGCAATGTGGTGTCCATGTACCTTGGTTGCTGCTGCTGCAAAAGCAACATCATGGAGCTACTGTTGCTGCCAAGGCACAGACTCCATGGGGCTGGGAAGTGATTCTGGAAGCCCTCCTAGGTTGGCGTGCTGGGGCTGCTGTACCCTGCACCAACCCAAATTATGCTACTGCTTCATCCTTTAGGAAAAAAGTTCAACTTCAAAACAAGCTCTCTTATAGGTGAAGGGACCAGCAGAAGCTGCCAAAAATCCTTGTGGTGACTAGGTAACTGTCAGATGTTATAAAAAAGGATAGCTATCTGTACTGCAACATTTTATATAAGCAGTGGTGGGGAGAGGGGGATGAAGTATTAAGTTTCTCAGTAAGACAAATCTCAATAAAAAGGTTATGGGTTGTAAGAACCACTTACTTTCTGCGTTCTGGGCATCATACAAAACCTGTGCAACTCAGCGCAAATACACAAGATAGAAATGTGGACTCTAATTCTGAATGTACCTAGTCGTGTAAATAAGAATTTTAATTTAATTTTACCAGTTCAAACATGCAACAAACTGTGTCTGAGGAGGCTAGGTTTGATATTTGTAATGTGTCAGTTTCAAAATTAAAATGTGATCTCAAATTATGTCCAATTTACTTATTCAGAGCGATGCCTTAGGGACATGTTAACACACTAGAACTAAGTCACTTTAAAACAGTGACTTCCATCACTTACAGCCACAAAATGACCTCCCTTAGCCATATAGGTGAGCAGCTATTCATATGCTTAGTCAGACTGAAATCAATAGAACCATTTCTGTGCAGGGGTATGTGGAAGTGTCACATTTAGATTAACCTAACTCTGCAGATGTTCAGAAGATTTTAATCACCTCAGAAGGTGCACTTGGACTGAGAATCGATTAACCCCTTCTTCCCTACCTAGTTCAAGTTAAACCTATCTAAAAAATGCCTACATTCTCATTAGGAAGCTGGGGGACTGTGGCGTAGGCACCCATACAGTCCAATGGGTCGCCAACTGGTTAGAGAGTCGCACCCAGAGGGTGGTAGTGTATGGGTCCTTCTCGACCTGGAAGGACATGGGAAGTGGGGTCCCACAGGGCTCGGTCCTTGGGCCCGCCCTGTTCAACATCTTCATCAGTGATTTGGATGAGGGGGTGCAAAGCACCCTGTTCAAGTTTGCTGATGACACTAAGATGTGGGGGGATGTGGGCACAATAGAGGGGAGCAACAGGCTACAGTTGGACCTAGATAGGTTACAAGGATGGGCAGAGGAGAATAGGATGGGGTTTAACACAGACAAGTGTAAGGTGATGC